TGAGAAACACAAGGGAAAACAATGATTTACATTGATATAACTATAATATGAAGTAACATACAACTAAAACAACAGTTGGATAGCTATTCCCTACTTTATTGGTTAGGATTTTTAATTGCATAATGCAAACTGTTGATTTTCAAAATAAAAAAAACGTTCATGCCCCGCATTCCAATGCTGGAGCAGAAAAGCTTGAAATACCTACCAAAACACTTGAATAAAGACATATACTGTCAGTATGGAAATGCTCTGTGCAGGTGTTATTAACAATCACATAAACTATGAAGCCATACATTGAATAAGCTATACATATAATATGATTATCATAACCTTTATTTTTAAAATCATGCCAGTGAGCTAATTGCATGTACAGAGTGAAAGAAAGTAAAGTAAAGCAGTAGAATTTCTGTACTAGCTATGATAGTACTTCATATGATTCGTCCTCATCGTCATCATTCAATGTGGTCTATCTCTTGCTACTAGTGACTGGTAATACCTCTGTAGATTCTTCACACTGGCAGAGTACCGTACTCCTTCTCTCTTGTCAGCTCAATACTTTTGTGACAACATCAAAGTGATTTTAGTTTGTATGTTGGAAAAATACAAAAGACTAACATTCTAAGTTATTGACATTATTGAGTAAGAACAATCAGTTTTTGAATGTTAAAAGCAAAACAACGAAAATCAAAAAAAAATGTTGAAATTGTTAAAATGCAGAATTGTTAAAATTGTTAAAACTGATAAAATTGTTAAAACTGATAAAATTGTTAAAAATGATAAAATTGTTTAAAATGTTAATATCCGATGCACTGGGGATCGAACTCACAATTTCTGGGATTGCCGTCTGGCGCGTTACCAACCGAGCTAACTCGTTGCGATACACATCACTCACTGCATTGTATGTCATATAAAGTAAACAGCATGGCGGTATCGATCGCCTCAAGCCACCAAGACTTTCAACTATTAACTACGGGGTTTCCTTCTTTATCAGGTTTGCTTTTGAACCACCTTGATGTTACTTAACTATCAACCCGGCTAGCAGAAGCCGCCGGCTCCTTTGATGTTACAGCCGCTCCCTGTCCAATCTTGTTTACACGCCGGGCGCAGGTCATTGACCTCCAACTTGCGTTGTTCCAACAGAGAAGAGCAAAATGTCTGGCTCCCGCAGAACGTACCGCACTCTCCCGCTGGACGTACCGCACTCTCCCGCAGAACGTATCGCACTCTCCCGGAGGACGTCTCGCACTCTCCCGAGGGAAGTCCCGCACAGCGTCCTGCACTCTCCCGCAGAACGTCCCTCGAAAATTGATGCGTATTTCGTGGCCTGTGCTGTACCTACCAAAACACTTGAGTTCATACTGTACAAAATGGAATGGCTTTGAACAGGTGTTAATTGAGTTAATCCAATCAAATCCAACAGCCAATCAGCAAGAAGAAAAGATTAGGCTGCGTCAGGTTCATGCTTGCATGCCCATATATGGGCATGCCGCCGAATTTCTTTCTTATTACGTCACGCGCGTACGCCCCCGCACAGTACTTTCCTATGGGGACCGCTAAAAAAGCAAATAAAACGATTGTAAAAGCTTGTATCACAAAAATTTAAAAAACGCCTAGGGGTATTTGCCCACTGTACCTCCATACCAAATTTCAGGACCTTAGGCCCTAAAATGAAGAAGCTAAATCCATTTAAAGAAATGGCAGGAGGAGAAGAAGAAGAAGGAGGAGAATCATGAGAAAAAGCAATATGGTTTCACCACTTTGTGGTGAACCCATAATGATATCACGAATATCAAATAGAACTTGTAATCAATCAATTATTATGACGGGAGGAAGGTTTCCGGACAAACTCTTCAGTCCAGATTGATTACAGGATACAAAGCGGACGGAAGTTTCTGTCATGGGACGGCGATAATCTAATGTTCCTCAAAATGACAAACAACTTGTCGGATCCGCACGGAATGATCCTGATGAACGGTCCTGATACCACTTCTGTTCCGCGCAATTAGGACGGGATGACCGGGCTGATACCGAAAACCTGATACCATCAGCCCCATTAAATATAGATTTAGAACGATAACATAATCCACCAAAGCCACCATAACGAACGGTAAATCCTATTACCAGGTAGGGCACTGCTCGTTTACGTTACGGTCCTATGCAATGTTAGATTGTTACAAAGCTGTTGTGTTTACTCCCGTTGTATGGACGTAGTCCTTGTAACGTTTTCACAGGGTATCTGAAACCTATGTGTACGTGTAACCAACATGTCTGATAGTTACATTTAATCTCTACACCATTAAGTGTGAGGAAAGATGCAAAACCTGCAATGAGGCATCGTTTTTGCAAGTTTACATGGTGGCAATTCTATTAACATTGAAGTACGATGAACTATTATTTACCCATCACATTCAAGTCAATGAAGCCCTCCTCTGTGCCGATCCCTTGCCCAATCAATGTCAGGACATAGCGACCTTGATCTTCAGCTGTGGTTCGGTCAATCTTCAGTGAGGCCTTCCCGACTAGTTCTACTCTTCCCTGGTAGGGACCATGGGCTTCTGTCGACCCCATCATGGGTATGGTTGTAAGAATAGGAGTTCTTTTTTCTCCGTCGGCTTTTTTCTCCACTTTGGTCCAAGTAATGGTGGCGATGCGGCGATCTGTCTGGAATGTTGCGGGTAAGGTGACGGGGTCCCCGGCTATGGTGTTCACGGTGTCCGGAAGAGTCAGGCCGATAGATGACTGACCCAGACATCCTGTAGGAAAAAATTATATAGATACTGAATAACTGTCGCTTAAACACACTACCAGTCAAGCTAGCTGATTATATTTACGAAGTAGTTATACAACCATTGGTACCCGCTTGTATTCATGCCAGTCCTTGGAGTTATCATTGCATTAGCACGCTGCTGCTAACATGTCTTCGATGGAATCTACCTAGTGCCCAGGGCTAGAGATAGGGTATGTGAAGAGTCTCACATTTATACTCCTGTTGAAAACTACCAATAGCGGTGACACAAAGAAGGGGTTTGCGCAAAATGGAGTACAATGGATAGGAATTATATGTATGGAACCGTTAAATGGGGGAAAAGCTGTCACTGCAAAGCTCAATGTCTCACTAGGTCACGCACATATTTAATCTTGACGAATATTCCTTCTGGGCATAGCGAATATCAAATCACGGCCATATACTTCCGATTATCGTTTGTTTATAGTTAAAAGCTTTCAGTCATGAATTAAACATATAACCTCCCTTGACCTTAAGAGTTTTATGATGTACGGTTAGAAGCTACCAACCCCATGGCCCCATTAGCGTGATGTGGACATAGAGCCCATTGACTATAGATCTCGAGGCTTTGCATACAAAAAACAGCTATTATTGCTTGCTTATCTCAAGCAAGTCTGAGGCTTTTCGTCAGATAGACTTTAGAGTAAAGTTTGCAATAAGTTTGTATCATGAGGCCTTGATCGATATCCTCCCTCCTTAGTCCTAGCGACGCCGTTTTGATTGACAGGTGAGTCAGACGTGTTTTGTGCAACTTCTGTAATACCTCAGCTATATCCCACCGATCCATACCCATCACACCAAACTCAGGTTATGAACAGATCGTCTTCCTGGAGAAAAACCGGATAATCTCGGAATCCCCCGATCAATAAGCCGTAAATCAGAAGTTATTTTCCGCTGACAGTCGCCGCGCCTCTTCCATTATCAGCTCGTAACGGGATTTTCCCGACACGATAGCGGATTTGCTGTAATGTATACACACCCTTGGAGACGGATATCTCTGCACTTCAAAATGATCCACACTTGCAAAGTCAGTTGTAAAGTGAGATTTCTTCTTCCAGAATTCCCTCGATCAACGTCTTCTGAGTTATGCCCCCTCCCTGTGCCGTTGCCCTCTGTTATAGCCCGCCGCAATAAATTTCTACTTTCTTTTATCCCCCACGAATGCGCTCGGCTACCCGTAAATACTAGTTTTGTTGCGCGTAAGCAGTTGGGAGACTATTTATATCGTCTTTACTGTTCTACCGGGTATGCGCTTCTAAGAGGGTTGCCGCCTTTAGTACAATGGATATAAAAGACTGACGTACAGCTTAGACTGATTTATTAAGAAGAGTTTTACTTTCTGAAATGAGGCTGAAATGATACATGGTAGTACGTACATCACAATAGCGTTTTAACAATGAACATTGCTAAAGACATACGATACAGAAACTAACACAAATGTGCAACACTAACATACCATTTTGTTACTAGTGCCTCTGTGTTTAATGATGGAACAAAGCAGGGCGTGAGGACACAGACTATCTACAACGTTTAAATATCTGCTGTATCTGTATCTACATAGCCAGTATAACATAACCACCCTAGGCCTTTAGCGTAACACACCAGCTTCGCAGGTACGCGGCGCGGTGGCAGCTGGCTATGCTACGCCTAACGACCTGTTACACCTAATCTTCGTACATCGTACTGTAAGCGTTGTTTAGGGCTATCTAGTGACGATGCCCCTAATGTACTTCGAGGCAGCGAGTGCCACTCTACGATAGTTAGATATGAAGTTGAGCATTTTGTTATAAAAGTTTATGATAGGATTTTGTGGATAACATGTCTTCCATAGCGTAGTCTCCAAGTCGACGCGATTTCCCAGAACATCGTAAATGCCTCATCAGAGGAAGTTTCAGCTTTGATTTTATGTGAAACGCAGTAAAGTACAGGAACAAGGTTTACGGCCAGAGGGACTCAGCGAGCGGCGATGCACAGTCTGCAAAATGTTCGGGAAGAAACAGCGATTCCAGAGCGAGAGGGGTTGTTGAAGGGGATCCTTATAAGAAAGTCGTTATCCATTATAGCTTATGCTCTTACAGCATGCGTCGGTTTCTAACTCGTCTACAAATCTAACACACACAAATGTGTCCAAATGAAGCGGTGCATGAAACAAGTTTGAACTGCAATGGCCAACACAAAAAATTAGACTCACCCAAATTTTCGACTGTACAACTCCAGTCTTTGTCAACGAATGAGCAATCCACCGCTTTCGTGACGTCACGCAGATAACACACGTGATGACTCAATAAGCAGTGGATCATAGGTTGCAGAAACAGAGACGGGGGCGCCACAGACTTTCTGCAACCTATGATCCACTGCTCACGGAGTCACGTTGTGCAGTCTAAAATTTGCGTGAGTTCAATTTTTTGTGTTGGCTATTGCAGTTTAACAAGTTTAAAACTTGTTTCATAATGCCTTCTACCAACACAGATGAACTTTCAAGATATGACGCGAAGTAAGAGACAAAGACGTCTATACAGTCAGCAGTTGTGGCTCCTGTGTAAGATTAATCTCCTCTCCCCCACGCTTGGCTGATTTATCCCCCTCAGCGAGGCGGAGTTAACGCCGTGTGGAGACACCATGTCTGACATATTGTGTCAGTAAAAGTCACCTGCTTAATGGGAAAAAGCATCTGCTCCAGGTGGGACGTGGAGGAAAATAAAAGGGCACACGGTCTGACAATCTATCAGATGAATCTTCGCACAGGTTGATGACATGAAATAACAGAAAAGAAGAGTAGGGATATTAAAGGCACATCAAAGCATATATATCGTAACTAGATGCACCGTTCGGTAACGTATGATAAGCAGTAACCGTAATAAAAGCCTACACTACCCTATTAAAATGGTATTAATGTTACGTTTGGTGATATTTCATAGATTTATACGAAGCAGCTTAATTGATGCATCAGATTTGAAGGCAGAATCATGTTAGTACATATAAGCACGCACTCACTAATGTTGGAGATATTTACGGCGCGAGAATTTACAGCACGTTAAGAATCAATGTGATTCCAGAGAGCGGAGGGCGTTAGAGTAAGATCCGCACTCAACCGTTTGATGACATCCGAATATAAACTTAAACGGCCGGGTCGGGAGAGATTACGGAAAGGAAAGACATTCGTTTTGTTTTCCCAGTTGCACAACAAACCACCTAAGACAGAGCAGGTCTGATATCTCAACCTACATTAGCTACCGAGTCTCCTTTGTCCTCGTCGCAAATAGCATCCAAACCTATTTTATCTGCCACGTCTCTTTGCAAGGTTGAAAGAGAGATCGGCAGCTAATGTTGAGGTCACATTTCCAAGCCGGGCCCAGTTTGACAGTTTCTAGGTACGAATATTTTACCTAAAAGACATCAAGAAACAAAAGATTTGCAACAATTGATTATGAGCACTATCTGTACATATTCTTGATATGAATTGTTTATTTTTCGTGCACGTAACGTAAACAGCCCGGCCGGGCCCCGGCTGAGAAATGTGACCTCAGCGAACAATAGGTTTGGATATCAGGCTACAACGCCCCTCCAGATGTCACTGTATGGTCCCTGACAACCTGTTGGTAAATCGTCGTAAAATCATCTGGGCGTAACGAGCGGACTTGTCTCTGGATACAGACCTCGCCACAGACGATGGTATCACTCCAGTCGGCGCCAGGCCGCAATCCCCACATCTGTCTCACCGATTAATTATGGCCTCGGCCCGATTAAACTCATTAGAATAAGCCTCGTGATTTCTGCGATGGCAATCTCGGCGCTAAAATCACGTCGGTTCATTGGCATTTCATTTTGTTATCAGTTTATAAACGCCCGAACTATCATCCTACCCGATTACATCCGTGTTATTGCAGTTCTGGATACCGCGGATGTTTAGAATTTTAGTTAATCTTCATTCGTTGCTCATCCACATAGTATATTCAGTAACAATCAGTGACAAATGAGCGGATTGTACCGGGGGGAACCTGGTGCATCAGAAAGGCACGATTTGACACGAAAATTGCTCCCTTTCCTCAAACCGGGATAATGCGGTTCTCCACATCATGTGCGCGCGGTGGCAATTAGGTAATAATTGCGTTATAACTTTGAAACGGTTCGCCAGCAGACAGTGAAGAAACAGGTAAGATTTGGGAGTCGTGGAGGGCTCACATGCGAGCTCAGTGATGCATCTCTGTTACAATCTCATTAACTTTGGGGTAATTTCGGGAAGTATATCAAAGTAGTTATTACCGCATCTCGCAGTGATATCGTGTGTGTAGGGCGTACGAACGCTCTTTTGATGGATTATTCTGAGGAACATAATGAATATAAATTGATTTTAGATGACGGTTTCATGATCCAATACTTGGGGGAAATCTTCATTCCTGTACATATATTTGCACCCGGCTCCCCGAGTGTTCCCATACTCATTTCTACGGTCTGATCAAACGTGCCAGGCACTTTCAGAACTGCAATTTTCATCTTATGATTACCGAATAAAGTTTTCATGTTACATCTTGTCGAGAGCCGTAAGCTTTCCTTGTAGCCGACTAGAGTATATGAACCAAGTCTGTTCTGTGGGTGCAAACGCGCCCGCGATGACATGGGCGTTTCAGTGGGTGTGTTGTAGTCTTCAGTTAATGCCAAATAAAGTAGGAGCAATCTTTTATATCGTCAGAGAATCCTCGATCAGCCGAAGTGCGTGGTATGTACGGGTTTGACGTGAAGACCAATGCCCGGTGATTCACCAGCGCACTAACACTGTGCCTGGGGAGACATCTGTCTTGTTGAAAGGATGCGCTTGATTAGTCAGAGAAGCCTAGATTGGCCTGTGTCCGAGGGATTTTCCTCCCTGACGTGGACGATATGTAACTGTTGTGAGCAGCCTGCCCAGAGCGCGGCGTGCCGGGGGGACAGGTTGTACTAACACCTCAATACATCATGTCTGCCATAATCCCAGTTGATAGGAACTTGAACATGAAATAAACATGATTTCAAAGTTTCTGGAAATATACTGTAGGGCACATTACAAAAACAGTAGCATACAGTCGTAATGCGTTATACGACTTCCAGGTGAAACTCATGCGTGATTGATTATATAAGGTTTTATGTATATTTTCTTAAATATCACATAAGTACCATGTAACTTTCCGGACTTGTTTCCTTGAGAATGATGTACTAGTATTGTGCCAGTGGAAATTTCACACAAATTAGCACACTTTGGCTCTGGCTTACATGTCCAAAGCATTGAGCTATATTACAAGTCCAAACGCTATTCAAGTGCATGTGCCTAAATCAACATTTACGAGTATATCTCCAACAGAAAGTATGTGAGGTGCATTTTAACACTATTAAGTATACTTAAAACGAAAGAATAAATGACTATTCAGAAACTGCAACGTAGTTCACCGCTTCAACCACAAGGTGTGAAACGGGCAATCAAACGGATCCGGCCGACATTACAGATTCAACTAGTGTTATTACCCACAAATACGGGCTGTGTGAAGATGTCAGGAGGTTTAGCAGGATGACATTCCGCCCAGTTATCTCCGCTATCAGCTGTAATTGAAGAGGACCCCCGAAAGCCTGGCAGGCTTTAGAAGAGCAATACAGATATTACACATTCCGACAGATGTAACGTGTGCTGTAGGCACGTTGTTGCCTGCGCAACTCCGGAAGGAGGAGGAAAAGCAAATGGAACTGCTGAACCTGCTATTCTGGCAACTGAACTCCACGTACTTTTCAACACTACAGAATATAGTTTTATAATGTAATAATATGTAATTTACCAACTCAGATGAACTTTCATGCTGAATATAGTTTTAGTTGCTATTGTATAACGTAAACAATGCATTCTTGCCTTCTAGATGCAAAACAGGTACAAAGAAAGGGGCGATATTCTATTGTGTTTGGAGATGGGAAGGAAAAGAGGAATATCATCCCGTTGCATTTTTTATATCTTGATATGTCGTTACGCCTCAAGGACTCGTCTTGAATTTGGGAATATGTGAATTAGCAGATTTCAGCACCCGTCCTCGCCTTGCGTCAGCGCCACGCGTGATAAAATCTGACAACTAGTCAATAAGAGAACATGATTCCGCACAAATTCACGCCCAACAGCCACAAAACCCATCAGTGTGTTACAGGCTAGAGACACGGGTCCCTGCCCGTTCTACATACAGATATAGATGCGCGCTATCGACCACCGCATCCCCGCTACCTCCGCTTACAAGATGAACCCTTTAAGTTGCCGCCACACGCAACTCGCACGCCGGGGAATCCGCTGTGACAACGGCAAACGATTAAAGGCTTTCCACGGGAATTAGGGAGGTGTGTTATTAGCGTAATACTCATCCCACCGCCTTCAGGTGCAGTAATGTAGGGATCCGTTTCTCCATCTTTTATTCACGCGTCTCAAACATGCTCTCCTCTCTATATCGACACACAATTGTAGCCATGCGCCGTCGGTTCTTAGAAAGGGCAGGCGCCTTATCGCGTATCGATCAGACCGTCCCTGTTATAAACCCACCTTAACCCGTACATGTGCAGAAAGTGCTTTAAGTGGCCCCGTCTCCGCAGTTTCCTTGATTAAAACGTGTGCAATCAGACTAAAACAGTCCTCAGGGAACGAAAAGAAAGACCAGATTGCGGTAATACATAGTGATTAGGAAACTGCTGTTTGTACAGGGCTTGTATCTGTATGTGGTGTGTTTAGTACGTCATAACCATGAGACAGACGCACGAAGATTTTCTACCTGGTGAGATTGATAATTTTCTTTCAGATTCCCTGCGGTGGTAATTTTGTTCGCGACGAATGTCCCACGTACTACACATATAGGAAGAATGCAGTTCATACTGCACATTCTTTGCAATTCTGTTCAATAGAATGATGAATATATTGTATTTTCAGAGCCTTGAATAAGACCTAATCATAATACTCTGCGACTATTACAACACAGTTAGAGAGAACATGTAAGGTGTTATTAATCACTGTAGTAAAATCTTCATCTTAACTCCACGATTCAAATTATCAATGCATCTTTAGATTGCTTGTGTCCGTGTAAGAGCTAGTTACAATGCGTTTTTAGATTGCTTGTGTCCGTAGAGCTAGTTACAGCCCTTCACACGTCCGACCACCAGAAGTGCAGACCACAGCAGATCTTAAACAGTCCCATTGATCTGCCTTTGGTCCATGTGTCGTAATTGCTACAAGATATAAATGACACAGCAAGTGGGTCTACCAGTATAACAGAAAAAAGGTATTCTAAATAGATAGATTCTTAATTGACTCGACAGGTAGTTCCGTATGGACTACTACAACTAAGAGTAAATAAAATCATCCCAGTCTATACACAGAATATGTGTAAGCCGCAAACTACCGTACAGAATATATGTCAGCGGTAAAAAAAGCCTTGCGTTCAAAACTTCGGACGCGCCTCGCATTGACCTTAACCGTCTTGTTCCGCTTGATGTTATTGGGTAGGATGGTGCCCAGTGAGCCGGAAGGCGGTTCCACTCCGCTGACCGTGCAGAACAGATTCTCACCGTGAGCAGCTGCAGCTTCTTCACTCCCCAAACTTCATCAAGCTTCGCCCATAAATCCCGCAGTCCCCAGTTGACCCTCTGACCCCGGGCGCTGACCTTTCAGAAATCAGAATTGACTTCAATCGACAGGAGGTTTACACGATTAGAGTAATCTCGTCCCCACAGTCCTTGGACTGATTGAAGGTTATGTTTTTCCAGTGTACATGTGCCAGAACAGGACGTCCTTGCGTGCCGTGAATGCTAGTCTCGGCAATTTGGTCGGTCGACACGTACAAAATGGAAAGAGGGGTTTCAATCATACTGACAGGATAAGAACGGGCGAATTGAAGCGAACCTGGGAAGACTTATTAATTAAGTCTGAGTATTTTACAAAGATATGATCGGCCATTTGAAAAATAGTCTGGTAGAAAATAGGGTATGTCTTAGTGAGCAGTATTGATTTTTTCCGGTCGGAGCCGTTGGAACTCTGCCTGTGTCTCAGGCGTGGGAGGGTACAGGGCTGGGTCTATGGGTGTAAAAGTGTCTATGACTGGAATTTCGTGATGCGATTCACATATTTTCTCATATATTAGGCTACACCAAGTGTCCTGTCAATGATACCTTTTTTTAAGCTTTCAAGTCTGGTTTGCCACATGAGATCGACTTTAATGTTGTTGGCGTTTGTTAATCAAATCACATCGCCATTGTTTGATAGTATAGATTATAGAAGCTTGGTAATTAAAAGCTCTTCCTCATCAAATGATTTGTTTTACTTTCTGTATCTTCAAAGCAAAACTTTTGAGCATCAAGATACAAGTTTTTCTTTAAACAATGTAATCTGTTATATTGTATTCGCATTTTAAATAACAAAATTTTGCCCTTTAAAATGACAATATTCTACCCGTTAAAGAAGTTTTCATAATGCTGTAGACATGAACTTACATCTCAAGTCTAACCAGTGAAAACCTTAATGGTGCCTTAAGCCCTTTCTGCTACCTTACTGTAATAGATTAGTTGGACTCCAGAGACCGTTTGCAATTTTTGGCCACGCCTCTTTCATCTCTTCCACCAAGCTGGCACTTTGGCAGTCTTTTCTGAATCTTGGTTTATTCGTCTATTTCTGTTTTCTCTGAAGAATTGATATCTTAGATGACGCAAAACTTCCTTTTCCAAATCGTATTACCAGAGTTTCTTTATCTCTCTTCTCATTAACCCCTCAACACAGAGATAACAGATAAGCCAAACCAAATTACCCCTACTTTACCGGGGCCGTGTATTCTCTATCTGAAACAAATATCTCGCGCAGTCCTAATACATATTGTACCCTATATGCCAACCCCATTAGGGCTCTACTTCAATGTACTTAAAAAGGTCACGTACACATAGACAAAAAGACGCCATTGTATCTATATCAGAGACCTTCTGTTGCCATATGTGGCTGGAGCGCAACGATAGAATGAACAATTCAGACATGTGAGTACTACAGGTATATCTTTACTGTAGACTACAAAATCCCACTTACCTCGAATCACCGCCAAACAAATCAGCACCTCGACAACAGTGTTCATCTTTGAGTCCATGCAGCCGACGATATGTCTTCACTCCAAGGTTTTCTGTAAGTTTGCTCTGGTCGCAGACCCTTTCCCTGCCAGGCGGGTCTTCTCACGGCACCTCCACGTTCTCAGACTTCCATCGACAGTTTCACTCTGATATTCTGCCGTCGATGCCGCGTATCTTAGATGGATAAAAACGGCGTGCTTCTACCAACTATCTTTATCGCCCAGTTCCTTCCTAAAGCAATCTCGTCTCACGTATCACATCTCCACCAGCTCCCCTAACACCACGGCCGTTTCCGTCTAGCCCGAGGCTATCGGAGACTATCGTCACTACCGTCGAACCGGCGCTGTCCAGATTGCAGAGGAGCTCTGTATGCAAATAACAGGCTTCTGTACGGCTCTAATGTCGGGGTAGGGAAAAATTGGATCGGCTCATTTGCAGAGGAGGGAGGTGATAGGAGAGGAAGAACCTGTCAATCACTTTATACTCCTCCTACATTAAGGAGAAAAATCTACCTCTATGTCATCCTGTACTTGATCTTGACTCCTTTATATGAAAATAAAAAAATATAATATGGAAAGGGAGAACTCGCATATGGAAGAAAAGGATTTACAAAATGCGAGACCAAAAGTGTTTCTGCTGTTGTGAATCTCGTCCAAATCAAATATCCCAAGCCCTGGTCCATCCTCAGAGTGTTTGTGGTTGTTAGAAGATGATAACAGATGGTACTCTTCGTCGTGTCCTAATTTCTGAATGTGTTGTCACAAGCCAAGCCCTATCAGACCACTTCAAACGCCGCGGCCCAACGCAAATGTAAATTTTAACAAGCGAAGAAAAAAATCCTGCAGTAGAGTTTTCTCGCTGATGTACTCAGATGCGGGGGCGTATCATTAAATATCAAAAAAGATGATCATCAATGTGGAGGGATCCGGTCTCAAATTACGCAAAAGGAACCAGAGACGGTTAATTAAAGGAGGATTACGCAAAGATATTTGAATACAGCCCTTATTTCTCATTGATCACACGTTGCTATGGATTCTGTTTGTCAGCAGAGACTAGCCTAATGGGCAAAGACGTCAAAATGGAATCAAAGAGCTCGAGGCTTTCTTTGCTTTTCACCAGTCGTGGATTAAGTCCATAAAAAAGCAACCCTGGAAATTTTTCTTGTCAATTATTTTCATATAGCCCTGGAACACTGATTTTCCTCAATTTCGCTCATAGTTTATGTTTGTAGTCTTATGATAGGCTTGAAGATGTAATGTTTTGCCCTAATCGTTAGACACAGCCCCTCTAACTGCCATTTCATTATTCATTACTGACATTTATGGCATTTCACAGCATTTGATGTGTTGTATCATGCGCTGCATATTGTGGAAATCACCGAGCATAAGTCAAAATTAAAGGCGGCGAACCGAGGACATCGACAGTTACAACGCTGAAAACTATCGTTTTATAGACCAATTACGTGAAAATGATTACCCGGTGAATTGTATATCACTGGCAAGGGAAGTGAGATTTCATTTTTTCTCAAGTATTTAATCATTTTAAACATTAAAAATTTGGGTTATGTGAGGGGGCTTCCATGACCAATTTTGTTGCTAAATATATTGGAAACTTCTAATGAAATGAGTTGGTTGAATGATTTTTATATAGAAGATCGTAAAGAGGATAAGTTTCTTTCGTGTCAAAACTACTAAGTCATGATAACACGTTTTCACATCATTGCCATCACTCTGAGCCAAGATATGTCTAACAGACATTATTCTCATCACGTTTCATAATAAGAAGATCTCTTATTTTATTGTTGATGTTATATAAAAGGATGACAACTTCTCCAATTTCGCCCCGCGGCCATATTCGTGATGACTTCCACAACGCGTAAACCACAGGGTTAATTATTCATCTGTAAATGGTTAATCAAATCTACACCATTACGGCAGCGGAAAAGCACTGCTATCAGGCGGCCTTGCGCGTGGGCCCTCCAGCGTGCGCTAATGGCACACAGATGCAGGGCGGTGGGGATACTATCTTTGGAAGCCATCCCTGGAGAGAAAAAAAGAAGATTTGCGCTACGTGGGAAAATATTTTTGTTTGTTTGTTTCTTTGTTTGCACTGCTGTAACAGTATGCTTTTTATCGCATACGAGGATGAAGTTGGCCACTCAGATGCAGTGGCGGTGGGGATACTATCTTTGGAAGCCATTCCTGAAGAGAAAAAAAAGGGAAAAAACTACACTATCTGGGAAAACATTTTTTTGTTTGTTTCTTCGTTTGTTTGACTGCTGCTACAGTTTAAGTCCAACTGACTATTACTTTTTTATCGCATATGCGAACATGAAGTTACAGCTACCTTAATATGAGAACTGACGACCGCTTGCAAACAATCAAAATCCTGTACATAACAAAGTACAGCACGAGGAATTGTTCAAGCCGATTCCTGTTGTCTTTAGATGGTATCCTGACGTTGACGTTGATGAAAATCGACTGTGAGAGAGCCGAGGCTCTAACCACAAGCCTGGCTAAAACGTGACCGAAGCGGGCAGACTGCGGGACGCTACCCGGGGTAGAAGACCTATGGGCAGGCGGCAAATTGAGTGTTCGATCACCCAAAAGGCTCACACGTGTTATGCCATTTCCGATAAGGAATATTTCTTGATTTTCTCTCAGACGGTTGTCTTATTACATCGACTAACTCTAATGTCTTTTTCATTGATGACAACCGTCCTCGGCTCTTTATCAAGCCTGTGCCTAACCCTCTAACATTAATGGTCATTACTGGAAACTGTGATGAACGTCACGTCCTTATCAATCCCTCCCCTCACCAACTCGGCGTGTCGCGCCCATCCCAGGCCGTGGTTAGCTAGCTCTCTGTTGTCATGGTTATCTCGATAGGATGTGTTACAATACTTAACGCTCTGGGCCTCAGAAATGTGTCCAAACCGGGGCCTGGCTGGGCAGTTTTATGGAACGAAAAGTATGATATAAAAGACTGCAAAGCACACAAAAAAAAGTTTTAAAAAATCAATAATGGGAGCTGTATGCGTATACTATTGATATAAATTGCTGACTTTTCGTTAATCTAAACAGCCCGGCCGGGCCCCGGTTTGGAAATGTGACCTCATCAGCATAACTTGACGTAACCCGAGTCATATGAACTTTGAAGCCTGAAGTAATTCTCCTCGGAGAAATAATATTTTGATACCTATGTTGTGATTCAAGTAAATGAACTACAGTATCCTACGCTGGGCACTTACTTTAGTATATCGTCGTCCTGTTTCAGTCCTATTTTGCAGATTAGCATAAATGGGGCATCAGTAGTGGGTGTGGAATTCTTGGTCGGTGAATTCTGCGCCCCTCCCCACCGCCCTTGCAGCAAGACTGCCAAAGGAGCCGGACATGCCTGGAGTATAACAGCTATAGACTACATGTCTAACGAGCGATGTCTCTTGATGATTGATTACTTTTTACGACCGTAGCAAAATAATGAAAGGTTATAATGTCAAAGACAGAACATGACTTGCTGATTAGTAGAGACTATAGGGACATAAGCTCAGCATGGAACATTCCAAAAGAATGGCACAAAGACGTGACACAAATCAGCATCTAGACAGGGACGATACACATGTATCTTTATTTTACATTGAATATGGAATTACGGGAATTTTCGACCGTCCTTCCCGTCCGAATTGCGTTACTATTGTCAGATATACAGAGTATCTGGGGACATGCCCGATATTTATACTGTGTAGAAACACTCATTGTGATTGCTCAAGGAACTGCAGGAACTTACAAGACCACACAAAGACTTCCAAATATCTATTCCTAGATCTGTAGTAGTTTACTACTCGAGGTATTTACAATAGTAAGACGTCGCGGTGAAGACCTCGTCTCCCAATGGCAAAAATTTGGCATGTAAGAAACGTAATGAACGTGTGATAAAGTCTTGCACCTATTTTCCTATGTTCTCGTCAAGTCTAATTTTCTTTGCACGGAAAATGTTGCTTAACCATGTTGAATCATCATGTGGTCAGGTAACTTAGATGCTGCCCTTGGTGGGGAGGTTGGTTGAGTCCATTGTCTCAAGTTTGTCTCGTACGTGCTTCGCAGCAGCCGCTGGAAAAGTAAACATTAACATGTTTGAAAAACGTTTTTTCTTAGTTACAGGTTTATTACAAGTTTTAGTCCATGAGCTTTCATATTTTACACTGTTGATTCGATAGTGTATAATTTATCAAAACGATACGAAACGAAATTGAACGAGAATGCAACGAAATGTTTTGCATGTAACTATTTAAGGACAAAAGTACTATGATTGCCGCTGTGTATAACAGAATGCATCTCACCCTCTTTTGCCGTTATGAAGCGGACGTAGTTGGAGGGGAACAGGCCTATCCTGCCCCTCAGGTAACCCAGGCACCAGCCGCCATCTTCCCCCTCCAGCACCTCGATGACGTCATGTACTTCCAAGTTTAACTCGTTGTCCTCTTGTGTTAAGTATGGATAGATGGCTCTGGCATAGCGGCGCTCTGTGCAACACAATGTTCAGACAATCATCAGTTACACCACCCGCTGTTTGCATGCTCGGCTAGCAGCGCCCCCTATCAATAACTGTTGGAAGTACAAGGCGAATGAGTGCCGATTTGGTGGTCTGTATGGCATTACATTAATGAGTCGCGCCGCCACCTTTAAACTGGTATGACACAAATTGCGTAGACTGCATAGGACAATCAACCAGACATACCTCTGAGCTTCTTAGAACGTCTGAGAGTTTCAATACCAGACATGGGAGCTGACGGCATGGTGCTCTTCTCTGAAATATGGACATGGAGAAGATGTGATGAAGATTGTGAAATACTACTCAAACAAACTGAAATTCTGTATATTACACATATAGAAAAAATATATTTACTGAAAAGCAGTGTCAGCTGGTAACGACCAAGGCCTGCAACAGCAAGTTTGGGGAAATCATTCAAGCAAGATGCAATGTCAGAAGTCACGAGCGAACTCTAACGACATACCTGGTAACTGCAGGTCTGGGTGCCGCCCGATATCCAACATGTCCTGTTGCACAGTGTCTCCCAGAGGCCCGTGGCTGGTTCTGCCCATCTTACAGTAGAAGGAGAATCTTTTCTTCTCGGCCCTCTGGCGGCGCCGTCTCAGGAAGTAGAACGTCAGCCCCAGACAGACGAGCAGCCAGAGTCCACCTGCGATGGCGCCAACTAAAATGGCCACCGTGCTTCCGACGTCTGGGGAAGAATCTGTGTAGTGTTAACAAAATGAGAGTCATCATTCATACATGTGAAACTTCTTTCACATACGAATTTGCTTTAAGCGCTATATATGCTTAGACCGTTCA